TTTACACACTACACACCAGTGGTAGAGACCACGCAGAAGACAGGTGTGAAGTGGAAGCAATTCCGTGTTTCGTCTAATGGGTGTGGTGCCGGAGGCCATATTTTAGTCCCTTTCTTTACCACCCTTTTCTTATAAGAAGTGGATAGGAAGAGGAAGTGGATTTGACGGTGGAGATGCATAGGAAAGGGAAATATCCTCTTTATATGTGTCTCCTCCTCTGTCGGATAAGGGTAGGCAACGCATCTGCAATTGCGGATGTTTTTAGGCAGCGATCCGCCGCTTGCTCGTTTACTATCTTATGTTATAAAAAAATTAAACCATGATTGCGTTCTAACTTTCTCTGACAATAAACACACTCTCTCTCTCTCTCTCTCTCAACATAGGGACTACATCCATTTCTATCGCACGATACGCAGTACGTATACATCCATCTCTCACTGAGACTGCATCTATCTCTATCGCACGTTACGCAATATATACATCTGTCTCTCTCTCTCACCTGTGGGCAGAGAGCTTCAATCTGCGCAGCGGCGTGTCTCACCATCTTCACGCCGTCTTCGTTATTCGACATGGAGCAGACTAAGTTCGCCACCTGGAATAAATATAAAAATAATTAAATCCACTTTCCATCTATCTTACTAATTTTACTAATATTATAAATGCGATAGTTTAGATGTATATTTGTTAGTTTGTATTTTAAAAACAGATCTCAAATGTCAGATGTAAAAGATAGTCTAATACAGTGTTTCTCAAAGAGGGTGATAACGCCCCCTTGGGAGCGTTTAAAACCTAGGGGGGGCGTTAGAGAGCCCCAAAAAAATGGGGGAATTGATGTGGGTTAAGGGGGGCGATGAATAAATTGTAATTTCATTTATTTTTACAGTATTTTAAATTTCACTAAAATGGTATAAAAATGGGGGGCGCTAAAAAATCATTGATTTTCGTAAAGAAATAAGTTATATATACTTTGGTCTAACACATAGGCTATTTGTTTTGATTTTTTTATTCGAGTCGCGGGCTAAAACTAGTAGATAAAGATATAGATATATACACTCTTTGTTTTATGTATTAATACTTTTACACACACAAAACCTTTGTTTTTTCTAAATACAAGGTCAAATATTAATATCCCATCACAGTCTACCCCTATGTGTCACTCACCTCAACGAGTTTATTCGCGTGTTCAGTGAAAACTATCGCATATTCCTCAACCTCCTTCTCATTGCCATTCCTCGCTGCCTCCATCAGCACCAGCAGCGGCACGTTGGTCTCCAGGAAACTGCACATACACACAAATAAACCACATAAGATGCCTTGTACACGAAACCATGCCCACAATTGTGTTAACTCCTCCTACAATATTATTACGCCTGAGGATGCTCGCACAAGAATACGCCCACAATTGTGTTAACTCCGCCTACAGTCCACAGTATTAGCTCCGCCCACAATATTATTGACACCTAAGGTTGCTCGCATACGAGACCAAGCTCACAATACTAGCTCCGTCGTCAGTATTATTAACACGTAAGGAAGCTCGTGGACGAAACCACGCCCACAATATTAATCCCCCTTCTCGATCAGTAAATTCTTCCTCCAATAAATGTAGCCCCGCCTCCAACCACGTTAACCCCACCTTAACTTCAACACCACCCTCAATTGACAAACATACCCCTACCCCAATCTACCGCTCCCAATCTCTCTCTCTCTCTCTCTCTAACCCCAGGAGCATTACCCCTACCCAGCCCCGCTCTAAGATTATCCCCATTCTCACTTATCAATGTCGTACACGCCCCCAAAAGTAAACCCACTCTTAATAGTGTTAACCTGCCCTAAACAACCAAACACGTATAAAACTCCGTTAACCCCACCCCAGCAGTTTGCCCCACCAGCAGTTACCCCTCATCAGTAGTTATCCCCACCAGCAGTAACCCCAACAGAACTTATCCCCACCAACAGTTATACCCACCAGCAGTTATCGCCACCCACAATTAACCCACCCACAGTTATCCCCATCTACAGTTATCCCCACCTACAATTATCCCCATCCTCACCTATCAGAGACGTGATCGACGACCGCCTTGCGCAGCTGACGGCGCAGATCTCTTGTCTTGCGGCACATGTGCTCGATGGCGCGCTCCAGACCCTCCGACTGCTCAGATTTACCAGCCTGAGGAAATACAACCTTATTACTATAAACATAGAGTGTATATTTAAAACACTGTAAATAGAATATTAATATAGACTAGCCGTTGTCGTGCGGCTTCATCTGCATAGTGGAAAAGTTGTATTTTTAATTGTTAATTTTAAAATTCAAATACACAAATGACAAAAGCCTTTGACATTGGATACCAATTACTGTAAGCAGCAATCTCGCTTTGCTATTAGCTTGTAGTTTTTGTCCCTTTCCCGCATTATGGCTTTTTTTTCAATAGGCAATATGCATATGACGCCAAATTGTACCAAACTGTTTTTAAGTAAACTTTATTACTGTAAAACATTCCTGAAAAGATTTTTTTAAATATAATGTGATTTAGTGGCAAAATTTAATCATTAAAGTGTCTTTTTTCAAATTCCCTCGCTAAGTTCTAAAACGCACACTATTGGTCGAAGCAAATGGCTTATCTAATATGGCGTCGCTGTGTTGTCAATACACAGTTCATTTACGTTAGTTTATATAGAAATACACTCTTGAAGTATTTTACTGTAAACACGATATCAAAACCAAATTTAAAATAGGAAATTAATGAATAGAATTATTCATTAACGCTTATTTGTACCAGGAATAATAAAAATGAATCGATTTTTGACTTTTTGACCTTGAGAAACTTTGTTGTGTTTTACATCGAAGTGACATCTGAGCGTAGGTTATGAATGGAATAAGACGATTGACGTCACGTGTCTCATGACAACTCCGGTCGCGTTTTAGTCGCTCGAAAATGGTCGTAATTTTATTTTATTATTATTGACCGACTTCCCAAAAGAAGGGGGTACTCAATTCGTCTGTATGTTTTTTTTTTATGTGTGTTACGGCATAACTCCGCCGCTAGTGGACCGATTTTGATAATTTTTTTTTTATCCGAAAGGTAATGCTTGCAGGTGGGTCCCATTATTTTTTTTACTCAATGGTTGAATATTTCAATTTTTTTTTCTAGTTATTTATAACAAGTACAATAGTTTAAAAAAGCAAAAATACATGCACATTCCCTATAGGAAAATGATATGTTAGAAAGGGACAAAAACTACAAGCCAATAGCAACAAAGCAAAATTGCTGGCGATAATTATTATACAACACAAAAGCCTTTATAATTTAAGCGTTTGGAAAATATTTTGAACAAAGAATTTCAATTGCCAGTATAAGTTAACCTGTAAATTGAACCTTATTAGTATGTGGATAGAGTTGAACTTACATTGGTCATATACTCGTGCAGCAGTTCCTGCAGCGCTTGTCGCACCGCGTTGCATTCCGCCACGATACGTTCGCGTCTCTCGTCCCTACATACAAAAATACACTAATATTATAAATTCAATTTTTCCCTCAATATTATAAATAAACACTCTAATTTTTGACCGACTTCCCAAAAGAAGGAAGTACTCAATTCGTCTGTATGTTTTTTTTTTTTATGTGTTGGCATAACGCCGCCGCTAGTGGACCGATTTTGATAATTCTTTTTATTATATATATATAGACTAGCTGTTCCCGTGCGACTTCATCCGCATAAAATTATAAAAAAATTATTATATTGTTTACATGTATCAAATTATCAATTGCAAATGTCAAAATGACATGAAATGATGACAATCTTGTTTCCTTGATGTTGGCAGCAACTTATGGTCTCTTTCCCACATTAGAGTTTTTATCCAAAAATTTACCTCATAAGTTTAATGGCGTGAAAATATATAGCCTAAAGTGTGATGTAAGTGTAGGGCTTTTTATTAAAAAAATAATTATCAAAAATATGTTGTAATTACTGACATCTTAGGCAACAAAGATGTGTGTGTTTACGCTTTATTATAATAGTATAGTGTATAGATGTAACCTGGTGCAGGAGCTGTCGGCCATGAGCGCGGCGCCGCTGATGATGGACTCGAGGCGCTCCTCCAGCGACGGCCGCGTGCGCAGCTCCGAGTACGCCAGCGGCTCCATCACCATGCGCTCCTGACACGACACACACACCATCACACCATCACACCATCACACCATCACAGCGTCGTTGCGTCACAGAGACACAAGATATGGGAGAAAACGAGAAAAATGCTGATGTTTCTTTACAAACATCGTTACATGAGAGAGATAGAAGATATGGGAAAGAAAGAGAAAGATGCAGTCGTAATACAAACATACGTTACATGAGAGAGATACAAGATATGGGAGGGAAAGATGGATGCAGTCGATACCATTACGTATCGTTGCTTGAGAGAGATAGAAGTGGGGAGAAAGAGATAGATGCAATCGATACCATTACACATCGTTGCATGAGACACCCAAGATGTGGGAGAGAAAGAGATGGTTCAGTCGATATCATAACAAACATTGTTACAATATATAGGAGAGAAAGAGATGGATGCAGTCGATACCATTACGCATCGTTGCATGAGAGAGATAGAAGTGGGAGAGAAAGAGAAAGATGCAGTTGCGTTACAAATATCGTTACACGAGTGATAAAAGATATGCGAGAGAGAGATAGTTGCAGTCGATACCATTACGCATAGTTACGTGAGAGGGATAGAACATATGCAAGAAAGAGAAAGCGATAGACGTATTGTCACACTTAATCATTACAAACATCGTTACATGAAAGAGATACAAGATGTGGGAGGGAAAGTGACGGATGCAGTCGCATTCATTACAGACGTAGTTACATTAAAGATAGAAGATATATGAAAGAAATAACGAGAGATACAAGATGTGAGAGAGTGAGATAGATACCGTCGATATCATTACGAACATTGTTACATGAAAGAGATGCAAGATATACAAGAGATATACGTATTGTCACACTATCATTACAAACATCTAGACATAAGAGAGATAGAACATGAGAGAGAGAGAGAGAGAATTTAAATTAAATTGACTTACATCAAAATCATCAAGCGCTTGAGCCAATTCCCCGGGACCTTCAATAGGCGGGCGGTTGTTACCTGAAATACATTTAAAATAATATAAAACTGTATCCAACACAAATTCTGTTCACTTTTTTCTTTTTTTCGCAGACAGAGTTGCGGGTTAAAGCTACTCCATACTAATATTACAAAGAGGAAAGATTTAAATTTTATGTATTTTTATATGTACTGGAATAACTCAAAAACTACTGGGGCGATTTTAAAAATTCTTTTACTATTAAAAAGCTACATTATCACTGAGTAACATAGGCTATATCGCACCAATATAATAAATGCGAAAGTTAGCCTAAACGGCTGAACGGATTCATATGAAATTTGCTATAGATGTAGTCTGGAAGAACACATAGGCTACTCAAATTTTTTTTAATCCACGCGAACAGACTCACGGACAAAAGCTATGTAAAGTTAGTCTTTTTTATATAAACCTGCTGACGGCAGCGGACGGCCCTGAGCGACCGCAGATATAGTATCAACAGCGGAGCAAACAGCGCGCAACACGAAGTCCCTGTTGGCCTTTGCCGCGGCCAGCTCCGGGTGACGCACGTATACCTACATAAGTCCCTCATTTACAACTTACCTGACTGTACTTATATATTAACAATTACGAATAAAAACTTTATTTTATTGTTTAAATAATAAAAAAAAATAGTTTTTTTTAATTTGCCCTTTGAGCAGGGGACTGGTGTGAACACCATTATTATTAATAAACTTATAAATAAACAAGTACGTAATACTTAAAGAAAATGAATTAGAGTATATGTGAAATGTTGGTGGGTAATGTGTAATGTGTAATGTGTAGTGTGTATGGGAAGTGAGTCTTTTTTGATTAGGATTATCTATACTATTATAATAAAGCGTATTTCTTCAGCATTTCTGATTCAGGCTTGCTCGTTAGCAACAAAAATTCCATTCGAATCTTCTTTATCCTGCTAGAATCTTACCTTTGAAGCAGTGAGCAGCATAGTCGAATGCTTCTTCAGCACAGCTCTTGCCGCTGCCAGTTCATCCTTCATCCTCGGCTCCTTTAACTCCTTCTGTCTCTTGGCAGCCTGCGCCGCCAGCTCGTTGGCTGAGCGACCAAACTGACGAGCGGATTCCACTAACTCTGACTGTGATGATGCTGATTTCAACTTGTCTAAGTCAGTTTCTACCTAAATTGTGAGGAAATTGATATAATAACGACTTTCGTAGCAAATGTACAGTCGGGAAAATTTGCGGTGTATTTTTTATTATGAAACAAGACGTATAAAATACAATGCGTTTAAATCTGACTGTACGAATTAAAGTTAGCGATACACATTTACAATATTTTATATATATATATAAACTAGCTCTCGCCCGCGACTCCGTCTGCGTGGAATTTAAAAATCAAAAGCAAGTAGCCTATGTGTTCTTCCTGACTACTCTCTACATATAAAGCAAATTTCATTGAAATCCGTTCAGCAGTTTAGGCTATAAACACTAACAAACATCCATCTAAACTTTCGCATTTATAATATTAGTATATAAATTATAAATGCGAAAGTTTAGATGGATGTTTGTTAGTGTTTATAGCCTAAACTGCTGAATGGATTTCGATGAAATTAGTACAATCTACATGTATAATGTCTCACAAAACTTAAAAAAAAAATTTAGTATAGAGGATAGTCTGGAAGAACACATAGCATAGTTATTTGGACGGTATCGCTAGCAGAAGCCAGTAAACATCCACCGACAGTTGTCCCGACTGTACATGGAAGTACACATACTTTTTTTTATTTATAAACTTCTACAGACTTTTGGTCCGTACTCTTTTTTGCACAGTTTGTTTTTATTTTCTTTTTTTGTTGTGTAATGCTTATAACACTGAGTTTTTTTTAAATACAATTATACTACTACTTTTTATACTAGGACGGATGTATCCTTGAACAGAGTCTATATATTTTTTCAGACTTACGATCGCTGTGACGATGATTCTCTCGGTCGACGTTTTTATCGCATCGTACCCATACTTACTGCTCTCAGTTTAGCCAGCAGGAGATGCACATCCACCATGTCTGCGAGGATGAGGAGGCGAGTGACGGCGGAGAGCAGCGCCCGCGCCGCGCGCACCATGGCGCCGCGCACCGCGGACGCGCACGGCTCCTCAGAGAACTCGCGAGCGGCCAAAGACATCGCCGCGCCTGACACACCACTAGCTCACAAACACACTTCTTTGTTGCCTAACATGTCAGCAATTACACCATATTTTTTAATAAAGCCCTACGCGTCACGCTTTAGGCTATATATTTTCACGTCATTAAACTTAGGGGGTAAATATTTTGGTTAAAAACCCTAATGTGGGAAAGAGACCATAAGTTGCTGTCAACATCAAGCAAGATTGCTAAGGTTTGTCATGTCATGTCATGTTGACATTTGCTATTGATGATTTGACAAATGTAAACAATAAAATAAAATTTCTATAATTTCATGCGGACAAAGCCGCACAGCAACAGCTAGTAGACTATACTTTTAACAGTGGTAGAGCCCGCTTTAACATCTCCGCACTGTAGGGCTCGCCAATACCACGACCACACAAGACAGGCGTCAAGTGGAAGCAATTCCAGAAGCAAATGATTGTGGTGACAGAGGCCTAATTTAGTCCCTTTCCCTTTCCACCCCTTAAGAGAAAAGAATGGGAAGGAAAAGTGGATTTGACGGTAAAGACACATAGGAAGGGGAAATGTCTTCTTTATGTGCGTCTCCGTCAATGAAGGGTAGGCAACGCTGCAATAGCGAATGTTCATGGGCAGCGGTTTTCATTTCGGTGAATTCATGCCACTTGCTTGTTTGCCATCATGTTGAGGAAGGAACATACCCTAAGTTAGGGTGACTAGGCCATAGTCAAGCACACTGCACTGCAGATTGACTTTACACATTTTAAAATCTCTCTGTCGATATGTGCACCACGATGTTTTCCTCTACCGTAAGAATTCGACAAAATTAAGTGCTATGTACATTTCGAAAAAATAAAAAATCACATTGGTACAGCAGGATTCGAACCCAAGAATGTCAGTGGGTCAGTGGTTTAAACACTTGTCTTGTAATACATATCCTAAATCTAGTCCTAATCCTGACATCCTAAACTGCTGGAATCTAGAACACAGACTTTCTTAATTCACAGTTTCACTATAAACTATCTCCACTCACCGGCTTTCCTGACCTCCTCCACCGCAGTGAGCATCTCCTGAGTGATCTCCGGGTTCTCGTATGCGATAGTCTGACCTCGTTCTATGAAGATCTCAGTCGCTCGCTCCACCGTAGCGACTAGAGCACTCGCACGCTTGGATTTACCCGCTGCAAGTTTTTTTATAACGGTAAAATATAAAAATAAACAATTCTCTATACTAATATTATAAAGAGGAAAACTTTATTTATTTGATAGTAATGAATAGGCTAAAAAACTACTGGGCAAATTTTAAGAATACTTTCACCATCAGAAAGGTAATTTATTTATAACAAGGCTATATGTTTTTTACGCAAACGAAGTCGCGGGGAAAAGCTAGTTATCAATATATCTATACTATTATAATAAAGCGTAAACACACATTTCTCTGTTGCCAAGATGTCAGCAATTACATTATATTTTTTAATAATTCTTTTTTTAATAAAAAGCCCTACACTTACGTCACACTTTAGGCTATATACTTTCACGCCATTAAACTTAAGGGGGTAATTTTTGGATAAAAACCCTAATGTGGGAAAGAGACCATAAGTTGCTGCCAACATCAAGGAAGCAAGATTGCCAAGATCATGTCATGTCATTTTGACATTTGTAATTGATAATTTGACACATGTAAACAACAAAATTAAATTTTCATAATTTCGTGCGGATGAATTCGCACGGGAACAGCTGGTTACATTATAAATTTGATAAGCAGCTTGATGTTTCTAGAGTATATTCTGTGAGAAATTCACGGTAACCATGATATATTTACTACTATGCATGTGAGAAAACAGTGGTAGTGCCCGCTTTAACATGTTAGCACTGCAGGGCTCGCCCCCAATACCACGACCACACAGACAGGCGTCAAATGGAAGCAATTCCGTGTTTCGTCTGATGAGTGTGGTGCCGGAGGCCTAATTTAAGTCCCTTTCTCTTTACCACCCTTTTCTTATAAGGGGATGGAAAGTGGATTTGACAGTAGAGGAGATGCATAGGAAGAGGAAGTGTCCTCTTTATGTGCGTCTCCTCTGTCGGATAAGGGTAGGCAACACATCTGCGATCGCGGATGTCTATGGGCAGTCGCTTCGCCATTTTGGCAGATTCAGGTGGCTGCTTGCTTTGCCACCTTATGTTATAAAAAAAAAAAAAATACATGTTGAGGAAAGCCTGAATATGGGATACTTACTTTCTTTATAATTTCACGATCATCAGCAAAAGCAAGTATGTAATATAGTAACTTTAGACTTACGTCTCTTCTTCTTTGCAGTTTTATCCTTGCTGTTAACTAGAGTAGTCACTTGGAGTACAAGAGGCTCCAGAGTCCGCTCCACCGAAGTCGTTCGGATCTCCAAGTTCTTGGGATCCCATTTCAATGTTAACTGCCCAGTGGTACCGTAAGGGTCTGTTAAGGTCGCCATTTCTGTAATATACCAAGAAAATGGGATAATTATTGTTATATATGTTCATTTATACTAATACGAGCTGTTGCCCGCGACTACGTACGCGTGGTATTAGACAACATACAAACTATAAAAATTACAAAAAGCTACGTATCCCTCGGGAACCGGACATTTCTCGGAGATGAAGCTTATCCCATGTGTACTCCACACTTTGTTTTATATCTGTGCCAAATTTTAATAAGATATGTTGAACCGTTGCAGAATGATCGAATAAACATTAAAAAACTAAATTAATGAAACCCACAGGAACCATAACTATTCCCGGGATAAAAAGTAGCCTATGTGTTCTTCCAGACTATCCTCTACATCTATGCCAAATTTCATTGAAATTCGTTCAGCTGTTTAGTACAAACTCTAACAAACACACATCTAAACTTTCGCATTTATAATATTAGTAAGATTATAAGAGGAAAGGTCTGTATTTTTGTATGTATTGAAATAACTCAGAAACTATTGGGTCAATTTCAAAAATTCTTTCATTGTTACAAAGCAACATTGTTAGTAACATAGGCTGTATTTTTTATTCCATGTAGGCAAAGTCACAAGCAACATCCTGTAATCTACACTAACATTATAAAGGGGAAAGATTTGTATTTTTGTATGTATTGAAATAACCCCGAAACTTTTGGGCTGATTGTTCAAGGAGTTTTTACACATTTTTGAGTCAGGCCCTTAGAAAAGAAGAAGAAATTAAATTATTTTAAAATTAGAACTCATTGTTGACGTCATCACTTTTTTCTAGTCTTTTTTCTGTACATATTTTATCAATTACACATGTCTCCGTTAAAAATAGTTTTATTTCTAAATCTTTTACGATATACATTGATTTTAAAAATTCTTTCACTATTTCATCATCATCATCATCTCTTTATCCTACTCCCGTAGGGTCGGCACAACAGGTTTTTGTCCTCCACATAACTCTATCATACGTCATCTCAGACATCACTCCTTTCTTGATCATGTCACCTTTTACACAATCCATCCATCTCATTCTAGGTCTACCTCTACCGATGTAACCTTCCACACTCATAACTTACGTTCTCCTTGTAATATGCGATTCATCCCTTCTCATAACATGCCCATACCATGCTAACCTTTTACTCCTTACCTTCTCTACTGGGGGGGCGATTTGTGTGTTCCACCTCCCCGAGTGAGCAGGAGGTATC